TTGTTTGAGCTTATCGTGTTTACCATCCAGTCAACTATCGAAAGAACATTACTTTCTATTTACGCTTTTCATTTTGTCCCATTGACATCTTCTACTCTTTAATACTTTTATTCAAGCAAAAACATCTTTTCAGTCTGCTTAACATGGCATAATGTAAATACGTCTCTCTCATTAAGTCTTGAAAAAAATCAATAGGTATTGTGCTCTTATCGAAACTTTCTTTCATATTGTATTCAGCACAAGAAACTCATGAAAGCTTTTAAAAATGCATGTCAACATTACTGTTTTCATTTTTCTAATGCATCTAGTCAGTCGTTAAGGAAGAAGTGAAATATGGTTTTTAAGGCACTGACGTCATGTAATACATCACTTTCAAACGTTTATAGCTGGAATCCATGCATTGATGCGAATAAACACAAGCAACACTCATCCTAATGCCTCTTATTTACTCAGGCAACTAAATACACTCGAGAGAGCTTCTTTGTCTATAAAAACAGCGACTGTTTTTGATCAAATGACATTTCTTCAATCATGATGATACAACGATTTTTGATTCCGATAGTAGCAGCACTGTAATTAATACCGTCATGATAAATCTGTGATGAAATAGAATTTTATATTTAGATATGCTGTCTGCATTGTAACAGGTATGAGAGACTGATTTTGTTCAACCATTTAAATAAAAGATCAATATGAGCTCATAAAGCTTATATTTACTTTTTTTCTTGATTTTTGTAAATTTTCATCTTCAAAAATGTGTGCAAATTTAATCGATACTTTTTTTCATGAACTTTGTTACAGGTCAAAGCACGGTTGACACATCACTTCCTAGTTATGGATGCTGTCCATCACCATACTGTCAAGCAAAAAAGGTGGTATGTTCAACGAATTTCGATTGCGAATGTTTGTTGATGACAATGACTGGGGGAGGAATGTGTGCTGATACAGTTATGTCATGCAAAGATTTGGTCCGATGTGAAAATGATAATCAGACATGTTCAGTACCCAATACTGTATGTGTCAATAACACTCGATGCAACATTCCTGTTTGTTATCCAATAGACCGTGCCTCTTCCATACGGTGTCCATCGTTCACCGTAGGAAATCTCAACAATACGACAGGTAAGTTTTGTTTACTTACGATGCTAACGAATATTAAAGAATCAATTCATAGCTATGCAATCTCTGCCTGTTTTTTTTTTACAAAATTATTTTTTTATATTGTGTCCACTTCAAGGGTGAAGTTATAGGAAAGACATAGGTCTTATGGATGCATGTGACTCTCTCGAGGAATGCGATGACAAGATTTTTATCTCGAATCGATTGAGTCCTAAAATGTCAAAAAAATGCAGATTTGTGTTTTTCTAACACAGATTTTCAATTCTTACTACACTTTATCTTCAACTTCACTGCTGCCAATATAAACAAGAAGGCACATCAACCTTTGTAAGCACATCTCAAAGCACGAGGAACTATTGAGAAAATTTTCTTCGTAATACGTACAATTACTCTAACAATTATTCATCAATCACAATAGAATCAATTGGCTTGAGTTATCATTGAAAAACTACACAAGCTCTAGAGAGTTCAGCTTTTCATGATCGTGTAGGGAACATCACGCAATCAAGGTGTCCGTTTGATATCTTTTTGCATAAGAAAAAAAAATTTGCACAGCTTTAAAAAAGCAATTCATTTTGTAACGATCATTGGCACCAGCGAAATACTCTTAAGTCATTTATGAGATAGACTTAGAATGAGTACTCCTGAGTGAAAAAGTTTTCTTGGATTATGAAAAAAACATGCACTGGTCTCGATATGTTATTCTGAATTCATGAGCAGAAGAAGTCCAAAGATTTCCATATGCTCTAAGTCGTACAGATCGATACACACCGTCAAATGTACTTCTAACGCCAGTTTGATGTAAGTCGACTTATTAAAAATTAAAAAACCTGTGGAAGACTGCTTCGGTTTCCTTCACTGTCTATGAGAATGCTTACACTGGTAAAACTGTTTCGCTTGACTAATCCATACGGATCGAAAAACTGGATAGGCATATCCATTTGCACCAGGAAATACTGAGGAGAAAAAACTTGAAGTCGCTCGTATCGAGTTATAGTGGTTCCAACAAAATTGTAGCTCGAGTATAGTTTACATCCTATAAACACGAAACGAAAACAACTGCATCATATCGAGGCATTGGATAGTGTGCGGATGCAGAAGCATATGCGGGTATTCTATTTATCTACTCGTCAATCAACCACGTTAGCTACTAATTAGAATCCAATTAGTTGAAAGCTGACATGAAAGAGTTGATGTCAACAAATTTCGCAACTGCTGATTGTTTACAAGCGATTCGAATCATTCTGTCTACATACTTAAGAATGATGCCCAGGGCTAGGAAAAGAACTTGCACTTATACGTGTGGCAAGGTTGACAGTCAACTACTGACCAACATTGCCTGGCTATCAATAGGACATGCTACGACCGCGACAACAGGCCGGCAAAAAATTTCATGCCTGCAGCAGTAAACAAAAAGTTTTTTTCTAAGACTCCAAGCAGTAGCGGATCCAGCATATGATCTAGGCACCAGACTTGGAAAGCGAGAAGGTGGCGTCATCGTGAAACCTAATCATATTCTAGGGAACGAAAAAAAAATTGTGTAGTTCTCTTCAGCTTAGTGCGAGCTAACAGAATACCCACATGTATTCACACTCTCAAGTATTTGTGCATGCGTTCTCGTTCTAATACTGTCCACTATACAGTCGTTCCATTTCAGTCAAAATCATTCTACGAAGCTGAAAAAGTTTCTACTGTAGAGGGGTGTTCATAATAAAGAAATGACCACTAGGGAGATGTTCGCTTTTAGCCAAAGTCGCTTCCTCGAATCAGAAAATGACCCATATACAGAAGTGTTCACGAGGAAAGGTTTCACTGAATAAACGATGACACTATTATGTTGCTCTTTCTTACATGCAGTTCCGAGAACCATGACAACAATGCTACCGACAACACCCGTAGCCACCACGTCACCGAGACCAACAACTACAACAATTTCAACAACCACGAGAATTATCACAACAACAACAACCTACGTGCCTAGTAGTAAGTAACAAGACTCTTGGGTGATAATTCACTTCATGACTGTGTAGAGAATCGATATCACAGAGTTCAAACGACACGATAAAACCAATAAAAGGCTCATCTTCATTTTGTGAAACAAGATTGGATATAAGTGTCGACGTCTCATAGATTTCAATAGACAAAATAATATGGTTCTTTAGCATCATGGAATCTGACAGACACTGTAGCATGTTAGTTAATCTTACTCTAATAGACAATATGATCGATGGGGGTAGGATTCACAGACTGAAATCGAATAAAATTATTGATTTTCTTTGAAGGAGTCAAATCGAATCGAATCGAATGTAACTCGCTATATTTGACTCAAGCGCAATCTCTTTATTAACTGTCAAAAACGAGTGGTAAAATTCACCTCAATGTAAGGTTCATATTCTGTGTGTCTTGAGCTTTTACAAATTCTATCGATTCCTGTGTATGAGAAGTCTAATAGTTCAACGATTGCTTGTGTTTCCATTAAAAAACTCAGTATCCATTGATTCATTATAAGATTGATAATTTTAGTAACAGATACACGTGGAACTATTCTCATGACTACTTCTCTTTCGATATAGCAAGTAGAGTTTTCTAGTTTATGTAGTATATAGAATTGCTGAATAGGTTGTCCATGTTTTGCATTCTTTTAGATGACGCATGAATATAGTTGTATAATTGATGTGGAGGATGTTTGATGCTTCGATTTCATGATTATTAATGCAGTTATAAATAAATATGAATTTGATAATTTTGTACTCTTCAATGTATCCTGATTCGCTAATGGAGATGACAATTGATTTTGAAAATCTTGATCGAAAATCAAATATCGAAGCTTTCTAATTCAATGGTTGCAGAATCGATCCAATCAAGAATACGGGTTACTAACTGCATTTTAGACTTGAACACTGAGACAGAGTATGGTCGAAAATAGAAGTTAGTTTATTCCTCTTCCTGTTATATGCGTCTTCCTCCAAGAAGAACATACCTATAACCAGCGTTAATAATACACATTCTGAAACTACTATCTTTATCAATGGATAAGAAAACACATCTCTTTTCTTATAATATTGAAGTGCTAATTAGTAATTATTAAGTTTTTAAAGTAAAGAACAATGAGATATATATATATTTCAATGTATGTTATCAATTCTGTCAATTAAATCAAAATAATTACTATTTCAACCTAATTAGACTTCCTCAAAATTTCAAAAAATTGATCGAATTAAAATAGTTGATAGTTATAGCCACAGTTGATAGTTATAATTATGGTTGAAAGTTGTAACTACGGTTGCTGGTTATAAATCAGTTAATTTTTTTCACCGAAAATTTGATCAGTTATGACTCAAAGGTTATGACTCGAGTATAACTCAGCCAGTTTTAACTCTTGCACTGGGAAACTATTGTTGATAACTCAATATCAAAAGCGCGTCATGGTCATGTAACCGGTCCAAAAACCTATATGTAATAAAATGTTCAGAAATTTATCTTCTGTTGCTTGGAAGACATTTCAACAACATTTTCAGACATCAGAAAAAGTGTGAGTCAAAGTGGTGAAACTCGTTTTTGGAATCTCTTGTCGTAGTGTTTATATCTTAAGAGAAGTACATTGTATACATCTGAAAAATTTACTAATATCCTGAAAAAACAACGCTCTGTCAAATTAGCAAGACAACGTTCGAATCGAAGGTTTTCAATGGAGTGCCTCGGCTTAGTGCTAGGTTATGCTTCTTGTTCAGTGACGCACAGATGTAGGAATCTTATCCGAATTAAACAGTTATTAAAAAGAAAAGCGTTTTGTCGACAGCTGATAAAAAGCTTTTATAAATGTAAACTCTTGGATTGCTTCATTGAAACTATTCTTTCTAGAATGGTCGAATACCACCAATATGAACTTTGCACGAAACGCTCACACAGCATCGGTGTTTATTAATGGAAAAGTCTTAATTGCCGGTGGAGTTGGCATTAGTGACGGTTTGAATAGTGCAGAACTGTACGATCCATCAACAGAAGTTTGGACAAAGACTGGCAGCATGAGTGATGCACGATACTTTCACACAGCATCGACACTCAGTAATGGAAAAGTCTTAATTGCAGGTGGAAATGGTTACAGTGGCTACTTGAATAGTGCAGAACTGTATGATCCATCAGCAGGAGTTTGGACAAAGACTGGCAACATGAGTGATGCACGATACGGATTCACAGCATCGATACTTTCCAATGGAAAAGTCTTAGCAGCTGGTGGATATGGTTACAGTGGCTACTTGAATAGTGCAGAACTGTACGATCCATCAACAGGTGTTTGGACAAAAATTGAGAACATGAGCATTGCACGATACTTTCACACAACATCGATTCTTACCAATGGAAAAGCCTTACTAGCTGGTGGAATGAATAACGCTAGCTATGCGAATATTACAGAACTGTACGATCCATCAACAGGAGTTTGGACAAAGACTGGCAACATGAGCAGTGGACGATACTTTCACACAGCATCGACACTCGGCAATGGAAAAGTCTTAATAGTCGGTGGATATGGTTACAGTGGCTACTTGAATAGTGCAGAACTGTATGATCCATCAACAGGAGTTTGGACAAAGACTGGCAACATGAACAATGGACGATACTTTCACACAGCATCGACACTCGGCAATGGAAAAGTCTTAGCAGCTGGTGGTGAATATGGTAACAGTGGATATGGTAATAGTGGCTACTTGAATAGTGCAGAACTGTACGATCCATCAACAGGTGTTTGGACAAAAATTGGGAATATGAGCATTGACCGATATATACATGCAGCATCGATGCTTACGAATGGAAAAATATTAATTACGGGTGGATATGGTTTCAGTGGCCAAACTAATAGTGCAGAATTATATGCATGATCAACATTAGACTAATATATCACTCTTTTGCATTGAAAAAGAATTTTTCATTTGTGCCCCAACCATTCACTCTTTAACTGTTTTAAAATATCATGATTATGAAGATGCCTTGTACATTTTTAGAATCAAAAATATACTTGCAGAAACTTCTCCACTATCATCGATTATTATTTAACATAAAACATAAAACAGCAAGAGACTATGCCATCAGTCTATATGAGGATCTAGTACAGTGATCTCAAACATGTTCCTCACATTATTTGGAAATGAGTTCATTCACATCGCATTTTGTAGAGATTTGTGAATGGTACATATTCCATAATAGTCAAAAATGTCTAGTAGACGGTAGTTAATTATAGTTAACTGTCATCTTACAAGCAGTTTTTAACGGATTCATGAAAGTCGAAATGAGTACCATTTCACAAGAGCTTTTTAATGAGCACACAACAATAGAATTAATTGTTATCTAAAAAGATGTTTTTGACTAATTCATATAAAAATTACAAATTTATTATGCGAGTATTTCTCTTCCTTCTTCGTCTCATTTCATTAATGAATATGTGACAAATATAAATCATACACCATTCGAAAGAGAAGGACATTTTCTATCAGCCGATAAAAAAATTTTCTTTTCAAACATGTTTATGGAAGAGTTATTCAACATAAACGGGAATCAACACGGTGCGCCGTTTTTCTAAATTCTACGAAAAGTACGAATTTGTTTGAGGATGTCTCTCTTTTTCATTGCGTCGCTTCGTTCATAAACGTTTTATAAAAATAAGTTATATATGATTTGAAAGAGGAGTAAAAGGTCTATCTTCTAGTAAAAAAAGTTTTCGTTTAGCACCCTTTTATCAAAGAAAAGTAGGTGTCAACATTTTGTGCCATTACTTTTGCATAGTACATTATTTTGAATATTTGACATTTTTTTCAGATTGACTGGTCATGGAAATGCTCCTATACAATTGTAATGAGTATTCTTCATAATAAATGATAAGATAACAGCGGCTTTGTATAACATTATTGAAAATTTATGTTAGAATAAAAACACAATAATTCGACGTTTCGATGATCTATGTCATCATTTTCAAGGGTGTGGGTGTGGATGTGAGTGTGAATACCGTCGTCCACCCACATACCCGCCCACACCACAACCCACATTTACACCTACACCAACATCCATCCACACTCACACCCACACCCCAACCCACGTCTACATCCACATCAACATCTATCCACACCCACACGAACACCCTCAAAAATATTTGATTGTTGTGTTAGAGAATTCGTCTGATGGAGATTTGACTTGGAAATTCTACATAAAAATGAATAATTCAAAATCATAAGTCCCAATTGACTGACTTTACTTAGATATAATCTGTCTATCATATATCTTCTATATTTTGCTTTATATCGTTTGCATTTTTTAAAACTTCGTCCATTGATTTACTCATAGCCTAATAAACATTTTAACTGTAGCAATGAAGAAACATAGTTATGAAGAATAGTTTCTCACATTCAACTATATAGATACGTATATGTTCTCTGTCGAATTCTTTCCATTTAATGGTGAGATGTGTAACAAATAAGTTCGAATTAATAAATCTTAAATTCTGCTAAAACTAATGACACTAAAGAATTCAACACAATGATTAGTTCTTAGACTTGTAAAAAATTCATCAATAATGACAAATTTTTTGGAATATCTATATATTTAAAGAAGTCTTAGAAGAAACAGACTTATCACATACATGAATGATGTGAGTATCAGTGTAGGTCTTCTTTTTCCTCACAAATACACCCACTTAAGTCAGTAACTGCAGACAAAATTACCAGAACAAGAAAAAAGAAAATTCAACAGTTCTAAAAGCCAATAAATGTTGCGTTGAATGAACTCAATTTTACACATTGTTAAAACGATTTTTATAATGTTTAAAAAGAAGAAAACATAAGTTTCCATTTTATTCTAGGTCACCTATTATCAAAAAAAAACAAGGTGATGGCGGCTGTCCTCCAATAACTCATACACCTGATTCTGGTTTTGCTTCAATGTTTTGTTTGAAATTAATTTTTATTCAGTACTCAAGTAACCATTCTAACAAGTTACTTATTTATTTGAAGACAGAAGGTTGTCTGGTTTGGCTGATTTTATTGCATTGTACAGATGCATTTATTAATGATTAATTATGTTTCAATATTTTCAACTTGTTCACAAAGTTGATAAATATGCTAATTTTTGTGAAAAACCAATCAAAAAAAAGCAAGCATGGCTCCATGTAGTTTGATTCTGATTGCATGTTTAAAAGATCTGATAACGATCATGATTTTCTTCGATGAATTTCATATTCGTCATAGCCTATTGAAAACGATTGTTTACAACTGTATTTGCGATTCGTATGCTGTTATGTCAAGAAAGACAAGAGCATACAAATATAGACTAAAGCCATCCATTCTTCACTAATTGTGAGATTTTATTAGTTTATGAATGTGAACATAAATAGTTTTGCCTGTAAAAATTACCGAGATCGAGCAGCTAACGTTTTTTAAGTTCTCATTAAACATAGGAAAAGGAAAAACTTACAAAAATATGCAAATCAACTCAAGCAACGACAAGAATTGACTAGCACACATATTCGTACTATCGAGTCTTTCAATGGTGATGAACAATTAACAACTTGAGACCAGAAAAAAGAAAAACAACAACCTGCATAATTCTTATATAATACATACACTCGAAGAAACCTGATAACTAGCGAGTTAACTATAAAAGAGAATGACAAAGATTATAGTTAATTGAAAACTGTGCTAGTGTCTCTCAAAACATTATGCATCAACAAATTGGACATGATTGATACTAATGCATACCGATTAGATAGTCACTAATCAGAAAGATGTGAATTCCGAAATCGACATCATTAATACGAATTACTTCCATCTGAAAGAATTCCTTTTTTTTTCTAGTTTTAAACACGTTTTTTAGTAAAGTGCATGATCAAATCTTTAATTTTCTCTGTCAATTAAAAAATACTAAATCTGCTATAGACACGATCCTATGAACGACTCACTCAGATAATTCTCAATGAGATATATTCAGAAGTTATTTTGACAAGATCTTTTCTTAGAAGTTAGATAAAAAGTGCATAATAAACTTTGACAACTATTAATGCTTCACTTGTTCAAAAGATTAACATCACGAGTTTATATCTATAGAACCATCTTCATTAATGCTCAAACTTTATTCTATGAAAATTACACACATACAGCATTGAAATGACGTCAACGTCCTTAACCGAAACACTTAGCATCATTCAACAACAATTAGTTCGTTACGTCTATTCAATGTGGCTCATATTTGGTGTGCCAGGATGTCTTCTCGACATCATTGTTTTTTCTCGACCCCGATTGCGCAAAACATCATGTTGCATCTGTGAGTATTATCGGGAAATCAATTTCATACAGAACTATTGAGTGCTACTATTTTATGTAGATCATTTGATGATCTAAAATTGAAAATGTGTCACGCATATTCCTGTTAGAAACAAACTGAAAGTTTTTGAATTCAATCAAGTAAAAATAACAAAGTATTTCACATATTAAATCTGTATTAATTTATTTTGAGACTAAACTTTTTCAATCTTCAACTAAATGATACATGTTTGTCAATGTTGATTTTTGAAATCTTTTACTTCTCAATGCTGTTTCATAGCCAGACAACCAAAACTGAAGCTACTACTATTGACAGAAACGAACAGTCAATTATTTATTTCTGTAAGAATGCATACGATGCACACATCTCCATATTACATACCTATTTGCTGGATAGGAGGCATCATATTTCTTTTCTTTGCTATCAAGATAAGATTGATTTTAAAATTAAAATTCAGTTATTCATTTCTTTTGAAAGTCTTTTGAAGTAGTTTCATCTGCTGCTAGACATGTGATCATTGTTCAAAATAGTCGAGATCAGAACATCAATTTATAAAAATATAATAGAAGAAGTTTTTGCCAAAATTGTTGTTCTGATGAGCTTGGCAGACACTGGGAAATTTGTGTCTCTTTTTTATTTCAACTAGACAATCTTTAAAAAAAAATAACTTGCTGATTGAAGAAATCTTGTTGAATTTTTTATCGGAGTTTGTTTATTTTATAGCCAACAATCGATTTTATATCGTTCAGCAAGTCGTAGATAATTTTATTTTCCTATCTGAACAGTTTACTTCATGAACTAGGACATCTGAAAATTATCCATTTTGATTCGAATGAACTCAGATTCTTATAAAAACATAGGTTTTCAGTTATGCTAAATCTCAGAGTGTTGGTTTTTTTCTCCAAAAATTGATTCAACATCAATAAATGAATTGAAGAACAAGGCAAACCTAGTTTTGATCTTCTCACGCATTCAATAAAATTACCATAAACTAGTTAGATCTTCACAAATTATGGTCACATTTTCAGAATAGACTTCAAAATACCTTCTATATAATCCAAAAAACAGAAGATCAAACCGTTACATTAAAAAGCCGACAGATGTTGTCAATTCTTTTAGAAGTTCACGCTATTTTTTCTAGAGAGTGAGTTTGATATTTTAACATCTGGCTCATGCAGTGAGATGTACTCCAAATCTATTTTCAAAGTTTGAGCACGTTTTATTGAGAACTAATTGACCGATGGTAATTTTTTAGTTGGGAGAGTGTATGAAAAAAAATCAGTCTTTTTTATATACTACACCTAACAATCTTGAATCTATCTTAGAAGGAAACTAAGCGACACTACGAAATGTGTTTATGACAATCTAAGCTAAGCTAAGACAATTGCCTATACAACATTTTTTCATTTTCTACTTTATTTGGCAAATTTAATGATTCTATCGTTATAGAGCAAATGAAAAGTTGAAAATGTTCTTTTAGTACCAGTAAGAAATTTTTTCTATTTATACCTGAACCCACTCCATATTTTCTTGATACCCGTACCTATAGGGCTCTAATCCTAATTCATGCATT